ACAGAACTGTTTTGCCGTTCTTTCAAAGTAGTTCCTTGGTGTCAGTCTCTGACGAAAACAGCTCTTGAAAATTCTTTGAAATTATCTTTTGTAGTGTATGAGACCCGATTATCTCCACGTGTGTCTGAAGCGAACACCGAGAAGAACAGAGTTTATTAGAAACAAAACAATAACTGGACAGAAATGAACAGAGAGAAGTGTGAGAATAAAGGGGGTGGACGAGTAGAAGTCGTCCAGGTGAGGGGATCCTTGAATGGGGCGAACGGGGCGAATGGCGGCTGCTGGAGTAGTCGTTGGGGAGGTGGAGGTTCCTGAAGGAGACTTCTGGCGGGCCCGATGCCCGCACCGTCGGAGACCAGAGGAAGACCACCTCAGAGGCTGCACTTGCCTTTTATAGCAAACTCCTGGCCCTTGACCTCCGGCGGGAAACTTCCTCGCGATCACATGGTGTGATCTTCTTATCATTCCATGACGCTGCTCTCCTGATCTCCACACTCTCCTAACAAGTGGTCCTTGTTGAAACAGAGAATGTGATTGCTCCGAAAAAGAGATTGTTCAAGATTCGAAGATCTGCTTTGCTAAATTGATCACTGGGGAAAGGGGTTATTTCGTCGCAAGTAGCGCCTCTTAGCACGGAAGGGTTATGCGTAAATCTCTGCATTTGTGTGTGCATAGGGAGCTCATCACCTTATCCATACTCTTCATCCTTTCGTGCGTCGATTAAATCAGTACCAGCTGTCTGGTAGACAAATACAGCGACTTTCAAATCGAGGGCTCGCAACATAGCAAAGGAAAACGTAGTCGTATTTAGATATTCCAAACGATTCTGAGTGATAGTAGAATGTGGGCGCAGCCCAACTGATAGATGATCGACTGCTTTTTTTTTTTTTCTGAAATCGGCCTGCTTTCAGATTGATAGCGAAGTTCAATGTGTGCGTTCGTGATTACCGTATCCAGTGCCTTCGACATGTGACCATCAGTATCATTGATTCGTCCTACGGATATCTCTGCAACGAGGGATACAACAGTAAGTGCATATAAAACAATTAAAAACAAAACATCATCCTTCCCTTTCCATCACCCGCAGTTGGTTCTCTTCGTTCAAGGAACCACCAGGGGAGACGCAATTGTGAACATTTAGAAGCTCGTCGCAGATCTTTCAATGGGATCTCGTTTTTAGACCAGCCAGACGCTTAATGTTTTGTTGGTGCTAGACCTATCCGGGAGAAGGCCTAATTGATCATTACAAAGCAGAACCGTTCTTATGTGAGTAGTGTCATCGCCACCAAAGAAATATTGTATGTAACTTATTCTTCTCCACATATGCAAGGTGAAGAATCACTGGCCCAGATCAGTTATCACCCGTGTAGTTGAATGCTTCAGAAGCATTGGGAGGTATACCATTAACCCTTGACGACAATGGCACCTACCGGTAGATGCCACTATGTTCGCCGCGTGGGACAGTGGTACCCGGTGGGTGCCACCTTAAAATTTCCTTCTTTGTGCAGCTAAAAACTTGTTACACCCAAATATAATTATAAGCAAGTCATGAGTTGGTTATCTATATTTGTACGGCTTACAGAAATAGTCTTAATTAGCTAACTCATATAAATTCCAGAATTTGCTTTTGCATTATTAGACTAAAGATTAATCACTAAACAGGACTTCTTCGTCTTCTTATTACCCTAAGATGCGGAAAGATACGGGAAGGGGTAGCGAATATTCTCTCGGAGAACTTGAACTTTTTGGGGTTTCGCCCTCTTCCCCTTCAAAACCCGAGTTCCCTTTCCAAATTTGCCAATTTTCTTGAAAACAATATACATTATGAGAGCTTAGAACTGCAGCTATATCTGGTACACTGCTAAAGTCAAAAATGTATAGAAAAACTGCTTTGAGGGACAATTTTGCCCGATTATGAGCAAGAGCTGGGCGCGCCAAAAAGAGGTGTGGTCCCATGAACAAGCTATGGGCTCCGCACTGCCGTCAAAGGGTCAAAATGGTAATTGAGAAAGTAAGCACCTTGAAGTCTCGCAAGTTCCACGCAAGTCCGGGATGGTGAACAAGTAGGTGGAATTAGACAAACCCTCCGGACCGTTCGTCATGCGTCATTCGGGTTTAAATGTAAAACCATGAGTTGCAGAGAAACTGCCATCAACATGCGAAAAGCTAATCATAGGTATTCGAGAAGATTAGCCACCGACATAGCTCGTCCTTTGCGAGACTAGGCGTTTTCACGCATTGCATCTCGACTAAAGGCAGCCCCGGGCAAAAAGCCCCTTGGTGTACAAAAACGCTTCATAGTGATGCAGCGGAGTGAACTGAAACTTCGAAAGAAAGCAAGGGAAACCTCCGAAAAGGCACGGGCCTAAATTTTACTCACGAAAAGTCGATGATGATCTATGAAGGAAAGGATCTTGAGAGCGACAAGAGAAGGCAAAGCACGCGACAGAGCACGCTGATGTCTACATCAATCGCGGTGGGTGGGGAAAATCGCAATGAGGGTCAATGGTTGCAACTCCGCAACGAAGCAGGTCAACCGTCACGTTGGACCGATTTCCGAAAATTTTACGACCCCCCCCTTCTAGAGGGCCTCGATACGACCCCCCTCAGGGTCAACCCTTCACCACCCTCGCCTGTCCATCGCCATCATGGGGCTCATTCTATAGTATTCGATTCTGAGACCAGTCGACACAGCCCAAACTCCGCCCACTTTTTCCTCCAAAATGCCGTCGGGGAGCGGGGGGGGGGGGAAGGGGTATATACCTACCACAAAAGCATTCTCTCACTTCCCCCCTATTTCACCAAGATATCCGCTGCAATATTTCCTAGGAGGACTTGTACACCGTGAAACGGCAAAATCTCTGTAACATTAACGCTACCTCGCAAAAATACGACCCTTTTTCCACCCCAATATCGAACACTCTCACCCCTCATCGACTGGTCCGACGCATGTTGACGTGCGAGAGCTTTCCTTATGCGCGCATTCGGCGATGAAGTGAGTCATCTATGCCAACACTACGCGCGAAACACATCAGCGGTATAGTTCTTACAGCCCTGAGCCTGATCGCGGAGCTTGCCTTTAATTATTCTTACTGAGGAAATGCACATTTTCATTACTGCTTACACCTCAAAGCAAGAAGCCAAGTTGTGGCGTGTGGTTCTTGAGAAGGTTTCTACGAATGCACTCTGCAAGCTCAACGCGGAGCGAGCTACTACCAAACTGGCCTGGTCACGCTTTCCACGAATAGTACATGTGTTGTCCACAAAGGGGAGCTCATTTCAAATCTCTTGCACTTAAAAGATAAACATGACAGGCGACGAGTTTTTCAAGTAGCGCTGACGCATCCTACCGCGGGTGCTCGGGCGTCTCGAGAAACGGAGTTGCTCCATCACAGGAAACACATTTACTGCGGGCCGCAATGGTTCTAGTTTACATGCCCACGAGCTGTATGAACATCATCATTCGATTTTCACATTCCAAAGCCGTTGAGCAGAGGAGGAAGGGCGCTATATATACAGAATCATAGAAGAGTCTACGCCAAACTTTCTCGTTTTTTTGATAATTCTTCGCCATGTGCGCTGATCTTCGGGTGCCAGCTGGACCTCTTCTTTGTGCTTTGCTTAACTGAGCGAAAACATTTGATCAGTTGTGACTTTTGAAGCGAGTCCCTTATGTGCTCTTCAATATCAGGGTAATCGATTAGGAGCTTGACTATGATCGCTCATTTACGAGGCGTTTTGGTTCTGAAGTTTATGCAATGATTAAAGAGGGTTTTCAGTGGCTCTACTATTGAGAAATAGTTCTGAGTAGTCCTCTCCACAGAATATCGAAGGCCTTCATGCGTCCTTTTCACCCAGATACCACATCCCATCAACGATTATGCCAACTGCGCCTTTTTGATGGTCACACCTGAAATGTGGGGTAGCGCTGTCCTAGTGACAAATCGCCAAGTCTCGTCCCCTCACACGCCCTGATCTGCATCCAATAAATGACAGCATGGTCCATTGGGCATCAATGATTTTTGAGAACGTAGCCTTTGAGACTCAATGTCCCAAGTGCCTTGAGGAGCTTTAATACTTCATTATTTCCAATTGGCCTGATGCCTGCGGCACAAATTTTTCTAGAAAAACAGAGTGCGTAAAATTATGGGCTCAGAAAACCCTTCGCAGCGGACCCGCACCACCAGTTATGTCTGCTGATGGATTTTTCAACTTACTGCTACTTCAAATGGCGTTCAAGGGCGTTTACAGTTTGTTCCCTTCGAGATTGCAAAGATCGAGAAGTCATTCACTTTGAGCATGAGGTCTGCCCTAAATGAAAAACTTGCAACTTGAGGTCCTAAGCAACGCTCACTCGTGTTCTGTCCCAGCATCATTCCACATCATTGTTCCTTCACCATTAGAGTGAATTGTCGAGGAACATCAAGCACTGTAACTCTTTACACTCCCTCACTACGAAAAAAAAAAAACCCTATCCTTTCCCTCACAAATGCCAGAAGCTCCATAGTGTCATCCATATCGATTTTCAAACTCCAAAAATTCCTCGAGGACTGCATTTTGTGGAACCGAGGCGAACGGCAGGACGGAGAGGGGGAGGGAAAGAAAGAGAGAGAAGGAAAAGGGAAAATATATTTTTTTAAATTCGCCAGAACAGCACTCCTTTTTTTATCTCGATCATTCTATTAGAACTAACTCACACTGTTGTTGTCATAGCGCACCAATTCGCAAAATAAATAAAATAAAAACTAAACCTTCCCTATTCCTTGATTTTTTTCGAAAATTTTATTTTTTCCACGCTTCACTCTCCCTGCAGTCCCCGAGTATATATCTCAGGTATATCCTCCTTTACATAAATACAAGTCCACCTGAAAAGTTCTTGCAAATTTGCATGGTGGGGTGTTTCTAAGAAAACTTTCGAGGGAACAATGTGCTCAGTATAAATAGTGTTGGTCTAGTCACACCTTTTTCACCAGTTTTTCAATCAAAGTGTATTTGTAAAGGTTACTGACGTTCCTTGTCATGAATTTCGGTACTTATTATTCATGCTAGCTCCATTTGCGCGAATGGAAACGTCAACTGGAACCAGGGTCAACCCTGCGTTGCGCAAAGAACAACGAGGGGGTCGTATTCAGCCGACCGAAAAGGGAGGGGGTCGTATCCACAAACGGGCTGCAAGACGGCTTGAAAAGTGCAGTGTCCGGGAGTGCACTTTCAGCCTCTAATGTTGTTGTTTAAGAAAAAGTGATAGGCGTTAACCTCTTTCTCAAGCCATCGTCTAGTCGCTCCTAAGAGATGCCATCATTCTCGCGATGATTAATGTCTCATCCGCTGTTTTATTGATGTCATAAACTTGCCAGCTATTCTTATGGACAAAACCAGCATATAAGGTCTTAAGCTTTGATGTTTCAGCATTTATGGAATCGGCCGAGTGCCTCATGGAATTGGATCGCAAGCCGGAAGTCAAGAAATGTCATGACGAGACCCTGGTGGAAATTGAGACCGCCAATACTGAGACCGGGATAGCGATGGCCGAGAAGCTCGATCGGATGTGTGGGTAAGTGATGGGGAGTGAGGAGAGTGCTCACCCGTAAAAACTGATCTATTGCCTATCTAGGGCGCTGAACTTCTTCGCTGGTTGCGTGAAGTCTCCAATCAAGCACGAATGCGGATCATCAGCTTGGCAGGTCATCTACAGGGTGCTCAAGGACACCACCAACACTCTGATGCCTGGATGCCATTTCACTGGCGCCTCGGCCAGGCTTCATTCCATTGCCCTGGAAGAAACAATGCTGCCCTCCACGGTCACGCAGCCAATTCTGACGACTACCGAGCCGACAACGACAACCACAGCCGCTGCTGTCATTGTCGAGGATCATGCCCGGCTGTCGAGCAAAGAGGCCGTTTCTCATTCCAGAAAAGGCTCGAGGAAGAACATCATCAGCGAAGAGTTGTCGCAACTGAACACCACCGGCTCGATATTGAGCCTCAGTCTCTTGCTGTTTATTGTGATGCTCTATTGATTACTAGCTATGGCCAAACTGTACGTGTATGAACCTCACATATATCTTCCGTATCTCTTGTGTTGTGTGATATTATATATTATTTATGCATGTCATGAATGGAGTTAGATAAAAACCTATAACGAGAACTGTTGCCAAGAATTTCCGATTGCTCTGAAAATGACTGAAATATGTTCTTTCAAATTCATCACTCCTCCATTTCAATGAAAGGGCAGAAAGAAAAGCCGGTGTGTGGAGAACCCTAACTTATTTATTTATTTATTATTTACTATTGCACTCAAGGTGCGCCTAAAACAATCTGCTTTAAAAACATAAACTTGTTTAGGAAAGCAGAATGATGTCTGTCCCTTCAAAATGAGCGACTCATTCGCTAGCTACTGAGCTTTTTGTCATACCATAACACGTCTTGGATACGCACATATGAGATCTACAACCAAAAGGGTCAAGGAGGGAGGGGGAGGCGAGAGAGACTGGGGGAAGTGGGAAAGTTGGGGATGCCCCACAGGGTAGATTTTTTTTCTGATTTATTCTCCCAATTACCTGTTTTTGTGCTGCGGTGCACATACATTACCACATATATGCCAAAGCAACTTTCGCTCAGTTCGGAATGCGAATCCTAACTTCTCTGCTTTTTCGGCAATTGTGCTAGGAATACATCGCACACCGGGTTCTAACTCAAAGGCACCGGCAGCGCTCCAAACTTTTAAAGGACGAATTCACGCTGGAAAGGCAACCCATTTCAAATTAACTCAGGGATGGTGATTGGTACACGAAAGAAGGAAGAACCATGAGAAACGGCCCAGAACCCGAGAAATGGGACCCCTTCCTTCCCCGCTGATTTGCGCATTGATGCGACTCTTATCGCTGTGCCCTCCTCAACATCACGCTCTCTCTGCTATCTAATCAATCGCCACGTATAGATCTGCGGCGAGTGATCAGCTGGTCGGTGGGCGGAGATCGCCAGACCCGCCAACTTTGAGGCATAATAGGTCGCCGAGGTCAAATTTTTCGATGCGAATTGCGCATCAGTTCGCACCCTCAGGAGGTCCGTGGGTCCCTCAACTAGGTAAATTACTTCTTCCTCGACCTCCATTCTAATCGTGAAAATCCTCCTTTAAGACACGATCGCGACCAAAATTTGGTCATTTCGCATAAAAATAAAAGTCAATATACGAGAAAGACACCATAAGTGAGGGAAAAAGTAAAAACACTGAAATTGCCCTTCTTTCTCAAGCGAGATATGGCAGAGAGACGCAGCGCGACGGGAGAGAGAATACACACGAGAGCAGTTGTATGAGAGAGCGCATATAGCGCGACTCGTATAAAAATGGAACGGTCAGTACCGCGGATGAATGCTCCGCTCATTAGCGCTCTTGGTCGCGCAGCTATCAAGTCGTCGTTGGATGGAATTTAATGACCAACCTGTAATTCAGGTTGATCAGCCATTGTTACTTTTGAGTGTTCTACAGCATTGTTCGCTTAATTGATTACAAGCCTGTCATCTATGTGTAACATTGAACTGGCTATGCAATTGAACAGCCGGACAGCTCCCCCAACTTCCATCAAACGAGGGTGAAATTTCTTACAAGATTCCGCGTTGGATAGGTATTGCTAATTGCTGTAAATCATGGGGTTAGAGCCAAAAACCTATGCAGATGAAAGAGGATGACGACCAAGTCAACAAGTAAAGGCGCAAAAAGTGGATTATATCTACACATGAAGAGGGCCTTTGAGGATTGCGGGAGATCGCCGCGTTTCGGCAGCAAGGTTATGCTTCAGGTTGCCTAGCGGGCCCCTACCCGCGTCGCTCCATGCCTGCCATCGCCTACCCTGCTCGACGTACTAACTTTCGCGTTAACCCTTTGACGACAATGCGGATTTGCACGTAGCGTGCTCGTGGGACCACGCCTCTTTTTGGCGCGCCCAACTCTCGCACAAAATGGGGCAAAATTGTCCCTAAAAGCAGTTTTTCTATCAAAATTTTGACTATGACAATAAACAAAATATGACTGCAGTCTTAAGCTTTATGATCATGTATTGTTGGAATTAGAAGTGGAAGTTTGGAAAGAAATCTCGGATTTCAAAGGGATGGTGTTTGAAAACTCTAGAAATTCAAATGTACAGTAGAATTTTTGATATAGTTCAAACTCCTCCTTGTGTCTTAAGACTGTGAAAAGACGTAGAGGTCCTGATCTGTAATTCACCTTAAGCTTAATAATGTAAAACACTAGTTAATACATCGCCGAGCGAAGTGCCATATCCTAAAACTTCATAAAAATTAGCTAGTAACAAACATTTCTGCAAAATATGCTAAACATAGGCGTAACGGAGCTTGCTTATAATTACTGATATGTTGAAAATGTTTTAAATGGGTAAAGAAGAAAATTTTAGGGTGGCACCCACCATTGGGTGCCATTGTCCCACGCGACGGTCATAGTGGCACCCACCGGTGGGTGCCATTGTCGTCAAAGGGTTAACAGACAAAGCGTTAGCGTGAAGAAGGCAACACCGATTAGAGTATCAATGCTGAAATCAGCAGGTAGCGAAGGGTCCCACTTTTTGCGTTCTGGGCCGTTTCCCATGTTTTTTCGGCGCTATCGCAAGATACGAGGGCATTGCTTTGGCCACACTTCAGAATCGCGTCAAACACCTTCTTCCTTCTTCTTTGTTCTAGGTGATACTAGAACTTTGAAGGGGATGAGAGGAGAACCAACGTTCCTGTGCCCTTCTAAGCATAGTCATAGACTATGTCTTCCATATCTTGCGATAGCGTCCAACCTTAATTTGCAATGGGCTGCTTTTTCTTGCAAACTCCGCTTTTGAGCTCAGCTTCATGAGGATAACCTGCGACGGTGAAACTAAGTCATTGCCCTTGAACGAATCCTCCCCGTCCAGCAACTGGGCCGCCATCGCTCACCCTCAACGGTTGACCGGCCGACATGATTTCCATGGACAAATGGTTAACAGACTTTTGATGAGACGCCCGCTCCATACAAGGAACCAACCCAAATCTGGCTTGCGAGACTGGCCCTCTACCGCCCACGCCATTACACCACATCACTTATTCACTTCACTGGGTCTATAAGAAAGTGTCAGGTTCGCGATTGTAATCGCGAAGTTTGCACTTATTTCACAGGTAGGGTCAATGGTTATGCAAAGCCTAAAGAGGGGTCATATTTGACCAACGGAAGGGGTGGGGGAGTCTATCCTGAGCGCAAAGACCAGCCACAAAATTCGAAGTCCTAAGGCATAACAAAGTAGATCAGCAAAGGATAATAGACTTCCAAGGCCAATGCGACTACTGACCACAGACGAGTACATGGCGCATCCCACTGCAAGAGTGATTACTTATACCCTTCAGTTTCAGTGAACACGAACAGATTCCTTCAGAAGGATGCCGATTTCCTGACCATTCAAGTGGAAGAAAGCGCAGCAAATATTTTGCATTGACTTCCAGAGTCCTAATAGAAAACTCTGCCGAAGTAAAGGTTTTCATGTCAGAGCTTTCACATTTCATAAAGCGCTGATTATGTAGCTTGAGAGGTTTTAACCGCTTCCTACAGGAACAATTTCGAAGAACTTAGGGCCGGTTTCCCGAGGAATTGAGTGCTTACAACAGTTTGAATTACTACTTGTAGAAGTCTTTCGAATTTGCTCATCACCTCGCATGAGAACGCAACTAGAGGGTAGTAGCCTCTCAAATGACTTTTCCACTCGGAAGGTTTAGTTTAACTCCATAGCCAAGAGATTTGGAAGTTTGGAAAAAGCTCAGGTTTCTTGGAAAAAAGAATTCCAAGCTTTCCGAGAATACCGAGATTGTTTGATTATAGAAATGATGGCTGTTAATAACACAAATTCCTGTCGCCTCATTTCTCCCCTTCTATGAGTGACAAAGCGCGCGACGTAATTCCCCTCCTAATTGTTGTCGATTACGGCTCATAGATTCTGGACATAAAAACATGGAGAAGACAGAGCTAGTTCCTGTTTTTTTTTTGTTTTTTCCTCTTCAATGCGCTCGCCCAGAGGCTGCAGCAAAACTTAAAGGGACGCGTTCGCACTTCCGCGCGACTCCCGTACAGATTAGCCTCAGCTACCGTATCTGCGCTCCGCTGAATGTTTCGACTTTCTAAAACTTTGTGAGTTTTCTGCTTTTATGTGGTTGTTTCGTCTACTTTTTATTGTGTTTCGTTGCTTATTCGACAGTTTATAGCAGTTTTTCTCTGCTTGTCTCTTCGTGGTTTTGTAGGCTTGTCTCTTGCCTCCTCTTCTTCGTTTCTGTAACAAACCTTGCAGTTTTTGTGATGGCATCGTTGTCCATAACTTCTGAGTATTTTCAAAGACCTACGTTCTAGTTGATCATGGACAAACCAGTTAAACTCGCAAGGGTGACGAAGATTATTGGACGTACCGGTTCTCAGGGCCAGTGTACTCAGGTATGTAACTTTTACTGTTTTTGTGATTTTCCTGTTTTGTTCTTTTTTATTACAATTGTTCTGCTAGTTTGAATCCAAAGGATAAATTGCGACAGCATCATACCCATACTGATATAACTTTTAAAGATTTACTCACGCAGGCGAATGTTGATCTACGCTGATGCCGGTTTCATGTAGTTTATTCTACGCGCTGAACGTTCTTGATTAATTTCATCTTTCTTGATGTACACTATGCTTTACCTATACACCATACTGCACGCAGTTCCCCATCTCTTTTTTTATTTTGTACATAATTATTACTCTGCACTGCTTCCACACTAGTAGTGTTCCGAAAATGAGCGACACTGAAACATGCCAAAAGAACGAAACGTTTTGCCTCGTATAGCCACAGTATGCAGTGCTTAGCTTTATGTAGTAATATTTGGTATCATGTAGTGTAAGCCTAAGGCTGGTGTCAGAGTCGGGAGTCCGCGATCCGTCGCAGGTTTCGCTGATTTCAGCGATTTGCGCGATTTGCGCGACGGTCACGGAACCACAAGTGCCCCATCAATACTGCAAGGTGTTCTCCAATGCCGCCGCACTGGCCGATGTCAGAGTCTGCGATTGGAGCGATCGGTCAAATGCCAATCGCGCGACCATCGCGCGATTCGCGCGACGATCGCGCGATTGACATGACTCCCATCATGACCAATCGCTCCAATCGCGCGATGGGCGCGATCACTCCCGTTGTGGCTGGCGCGCCCCTCTCGATCGATACGTTGACTGAGCTATCGATCGAGAGGGGCGCGCCAGCCACAACGGGAGTGATCGCGCCCATCGCGCGATTGGAGCGATTGGTCATGATGGGACTCATGTCAATCGCGCGATCGTCGCGCGAATCGCGCGATGGTCGCGCGATTGGCATTTGACCGATCGCTCCAATCGCAGACTCTGACATCGGCCATTGCGCCCTCAATGCCAATGGCCGATGTCAGAGTCTGCGATTGGAGCGATCGGTCAAATGCCAATCGCGCGACCATCGCGCGATTCGCGCGACGATCGCGCGATTGACATGAGTCCCATCATGACCAATCGCTCCAATCGCGCGATGGGCGCGATCACTCCCGTTGTGGCTGGCGCGCCCCTCTCGATCGATACGTTGACTGAGCTATCGATCGAGAGGGGCGCGCCAGCCACAACGGGAGTGATCGCGCCCATCGCGCGATTGGAGCGATTGGTCATGATGGGACTCATGTCAATCGCGCGATCGTCGCGCGAATCGCGCGATGGTCGCGCGATTGGCATTTGACCGATCGCTCCAATCGCAGACTCTGACATCGGCCAATTTCTGCCTTGATTGATGGCTGAATGACGACTGCCCTCATGATTCCACTTTTATATAGAAATCTAGAATTATAGGATAGAATAGGAACGAATCATGAGCATTTCAATGAACTGATAGACATTGAACATGAAACAAGTAGAATCACGAACAGTCGTCTTTCAATCTTCACTGTCAAGCAGAAATTCGCAGCAGGATTAAACAGCACCTCGCAGTATCATCGGGCACTTCCAACTCCTGTGATCCATCGCAGGTTTCGCGCAAATAGCGAAATCGCTGAAATCAGCGAAACCTGCGACGGATCGCGGACTCTGACACCAGCCTAACTCATAGCATTTAGACTAGATTTGCGAGCCTGGCTGCTTCTTTCGCCATATTCTTGTGCCCCTTGAAGATAGATCTAATATGCCTCCTTCCATTCTAATTCAGACCGTGCAAGTGCTCTAGTTGCCTTCATCTTTTCCCTTCATCAAATACGAGTCGATACACTAAGATATTTATTTATATATTATTTATTTATTAACGGACATGCCAGTAGGCATGTGAAACAATTAAGTTAGTAACAATACACTACAAAACTATTCAACATCAACACGAACGTATAGAACAAAATAAAATAAAATAAAATACAACTGGAGACCAAGGACAGATCAGATGTACTTATCCAGTGATCTTTTGAACACATTATAGTTTGAAGGAATAAGATTGCGACGTAGAAGAGTATTGAAAGGCGTGCAAATTCTATTACTGAAAAACTGTGACCTAACCTGGATCGAGCTGAAGCAGTTGAAATCTTTGCGGAAGTTATTCTAAGTTTTATTATTGACACCTAGTTGGTGGTTTTTATCTATTGCCTCTTCAATGGCTCTTAAATCTTGAACGCCATTTCCTATACATTGCTTTATTTCTGGCTTTGAGTTTTTGAGCATCACTTGGAGTCTCATCCCGTAAGGTGAGGGGGTGGGGGACATGTGGTGTGACAGTTCTTGCCGGCTACAGAAATTCCAATTTTTGCAAGGGAGGGAATCCCCGGGGTGCGTGAACCATTTCGCTTAAACTTTTACACCCACCCGGAGCTTCCCTCCCCTAAAAAAAGTGGATTACTTCATGCAATATGAACTGTCGCACCACATGCTTCCCCCCCCCCCCTCTTACCGTATGAGACCATCGCCTCCGATTTTCCATTGTGAAAGTCAGCTTATTTGCCTCATTCTGCTAAGATTAGTCATTAGCTCAAAATTTCAGGTCATCTCATTCAAACATGTAGACATTTTATTTATATAAAATGGACATTAAGAGGATTAAAAGCTAATATATTGGGTGTTTAGTCGAGTAGATCATGTCGTTGTCGGCAACCCGTCCAGGGAACATTAGACGCCAAAACTTTCTTCTTTCAACAGGTATATACAAGATGCTCTTGATGTCAGTTCGATGACCCGCGAATTGTCGTAGCGCTTGCCAACGAGTCATGTTTTCGACTGGCCATGACAGCTGCAGTCGGGAAAACACGGTGGATAGTAGAGGTCTTAATATTCTTTTGGTTGAAATATCCCTGAGCAGTATGAGCTGCATGGGGTCTGACATCGACATAAGTGATGATGTCGCTCTTGTAGTTAAGTACTGCTAGACAATTATCTCGGGCAGAGCCGCCCGAGAGACACATCTCACAAATCCATCGTCATAATCATTCACGTGAACCCACAGGACTACTCATGATCCATTTCGGGCACTTCTTCATTGGCATTCATCTAAAACGCTTGTCACTTCAAGCTGGGTGTAAAATCCCACTCGAATTTCGATCGTGGTTCAATAGTCTTGAATAACGTTGGTAGCGGAGAATATTACTGCTACAGACACCAATTCGATTGTGGACTGTGCATCTGTAACTGAGGTGTCCAAAAACGTGTTTTCTAGACCATCCCCTATTTTTGGTCACAGTTCGGCTAGCTGTTGCAGCAATGTTCAGGTCTGGCGGGCAAATATGGAAAGGTCCAACATCTTTGCTCCGCCATTTGACAAATCACTCCACCCGCTTTAATTAGGCACGACAATATGAGTGCTTTTTCGAGCGCAGCTCGCATCGCTCTTCCTTATTTGGGCTCTCGCACCCAAACCTTCAACATAGTGCTTCGGGAACTCACACGGAAGTTGAGCCAGAGCCCTAAGAGTCCAAGCTACGATCTCCCCGTGTATGACGCCTCATTTGAAATTTCCGCCTTACTTTTGGTCACGTGAGCTTTTTTATGTTGACGTGTTTTCTTCCAATGTAAACTAAATTGGGGATACCGTAGCTAAAGTGTCTGTAAAGTGTCCATTTCTGTAGACGTCTTCACATCTTTGAATGAGATGGCCTAATGTTATGAAAGAATGTTGCTAATTGTGATCCATGATTGCCGGTAAACTCGCAGACTGCTTGCTTTGCTTCCATTTTTGTTATTCTTGCATTATTAAGCTTTTTATTTGCATTAGTTCAGCATGACATTGCTATCTTTTAATTCCGTGATAATCCAGAAAGGCTAAATTTCTTACGAAACGTGTCTCTGATCCATAATTTATGGAAGGATCTTCCGTCATTATTGCCGCCAGTCCTAGCTGCCCCCAATATAAGGTGCCTTCCTAACATTTGGTTAGTCACATAAGTACTCTTTAGTTGGTTGTGGAAACATGGATTCATACCGAATGCACTGCTGACAATGTTTGCTATGTTTTTAACACATCGCGTACCAAGTGCGTTTGTACTATGGACACCGACTTCACACAACACTCAGTTTTATCTTTTTATTTGACATTTTCAATGTTAATTGATACGGTTTTGACTCATTTTCACGTCGGAAAAATAACAGTTCTGTCCTACTGATAGATATTAGTGATTAATTGATCTGGATTTCTCAAAACATTAAAAAGATACGAAATACTTTGAAATGGGCGGGCGCCGCAAATGTGTTATAGCCTTGAACCGCACCACCAATGCTCTCACCACACCGAAAATTTCTGACGTGAGCGTGCCTTTCAGTGGTTATTATGTAATGAGACACTCTGGCATACTATCTGCACAGTCGGAACCAGGTAGGAGCACGCGTTCAAACATGAAGACTTTGAATGGCTTCGTTTGAACTTTTTGCTCTAATGTTTTAATTAGAGTTTGCTTTTATGTTTTACGATTTCCGTCAGGCTCGGCTATTGTGTCGAGTCTGACGGACATACGAAAGGGGACGTACCGAAAAGAAGGCGAACTAAGTGAGTTCTAAGTGTGCTCATAAATAAATGAAAAGCTCTAGTTCGTGAGGAAACTTCGTGGAAAGCAGTGAATTCAGCAGCTCGAGCAGCTCACCTAAAATCATAGCTCAGCAGTTGTTGTTCTCTAAACGAAACATCCTCTACAAACGTATAACTCTTCGTTTTTCCTAGCTCAACCACAATATTTTACGAATGTTTCGTCTTTTTTAGTAACTTTACAGAATTTAAGTGGTATTCCCTCTTTTTTTTTGATTTCAGCAAAGTTCTGTGCCGAATTTTTCGTGGCAGATACTTTGAATGAGTTTTGATAAAGTTGTGTGAAAACGCCATCCTTACTCGTTCAGTCTCTCTTGCTTGCATCTGCTGTTGCTCCTTGGACATAACAGAAGCTTCAAGTGGTTCTTATATTAGGTCGGTCCATAATTTTTGAGACACTTTACATGTATTGGTGTAAAAATCTTTTGATAAGTATTGAAGCTTTCCAAGATGTCCTGCAACCTAGCACACAAGCTCGCCTATCCGACAGGCTAGCCATCTCGTTTGCTTGTTACTTTCTTTAGCTAGGATTCCAATTTCTTTGAAACCTACTTCTGAGCCTCTTTCTTCATGACTTCAGATTAGGATCTTCCACGCGCCAAGCTATATGGAGGATTAACCAGAAGATAGTTGAGGGCACGCTCTCTCAATCCACGGTGCACCGGTGGTTACCTCTACTCAGGGTTCCCTCCTTTTATTTGAAGATGATCCACACTCCAACCACCCCGTGACTGGCAATCTCGATGCTCTATCCGGCGCCATTGGAAAGGAATCTGAACAAAGTGGGCGCTATTTGTCAGAGCGCTTTTGGTGTTACAAGGTGAGAGTACTGAGACATCTCGATAAAGTCGCTAAGGTTTGAAATATGGAGTTTGTCTCTCACATGCTCTGAGCCCGAATCAGCTCTAAACCCGATCTGACATCATCATGTTCCTGTTGGTTTCCCATAGTTCCTTCGAATGACCATCCATCATACTCATTGGTGATGTGGACTGGGTGCAGTGTGCTAACAAATCCACAAGCCGCAGTAGATTTGCTTAAACGATTCGGGAGTTCTGACAGCAAAAACCCAACTCCCTCTGAATTCGAACTTCCTGAGTCGTTGGCGGAATACGAGAGGGGCTTTGCGCAGGGAACCGGCACCAACTAATACCAGTGTCAGTGGCGAAGATAATCGTCGACAGCTCGATGGTGAAAGCAAAGTAAGACAAAATCTTTTTTTTCTGAGGTCGTTCGAGTCCACCTTGCTAAGAAAATTCATAAAAAATTGGAGACTCTCGGGCGGTCAGTTCTTTTAGCTCCGCCTTGTAGCACTAACCTTGTCTATCCGCTCTTTCACAAGAATGCTGGGTTGTGAACAAAACTTTCGCCCCAGGCGGAACTAGAACCCGCACCTCTCGCTTTGTTACACCTCGCTTAGTCGTTGGGGAATACGAGAGGGAAAAAGCGAGAGGTGCGGGTTCTAGTCCCCGCCTGGGGCGAAAGTTTTGTTCACAACCCAGCATTCTTGTGAAACATTCGCAACGCGAACTGCGGCGTTAAAACAGCAGTTAACAAACAAAACATCGTCTAACTTCGAATCAGCTCTGCATTTAAGATCC